TGGCGGTGAAATCTGTGAAATGAGAAATCATTGAAAAAACTAGGAGCTCTGCAGCACATACTTTCTGGTACAATTGATATCGGTCAAGTAACGTTATAATGCAGCACATTCCATCTAACATGTAATTCCCAGTTACTCTTGCTATTACATTTTGACCGGTTTTTGCCACATCATTATAATACTTTCTCTGTACTAAAAAGCAGTATGCGGAAAAGTAAAAATCAAATATTCCTGTAGTTTCTTTTGTAACATAGACACGTCGATATATCGTTCTAGCAATGCTTTTCCCAATTACTCTGATTAACAAATTCCAGCACTCCATTATTAAGCTGAATCAAAACTAAAAGGTGTTAGGCCTTGGCTTCAGCAAAAATCAACAGTAATTTGCAGTGTTTGATATCATGCCGTCTCGCAAGTATCGCCGACAACTGTATTCAACGAATGTGGAATACGTTCACAATGTCTTTTTAATGTATTCGTATCCCATGTTCATCCACATATTCAGAATGTATGTTCTTATTTTTCATCACCAGCCATACTAAGTCTTCATCAACAATCTCAAGTTAAAATGGAGGAAATGAAATGATCTAGTCGGTCTTAATTATGAACTTCTTCGTCTTTTCTTGAAGCGACCTATCATAATATACCACATTATACATTTAGATGCTCGTACCTGAAATTTGTATCTTTTCACGTAAGTCCCGGCGTTGACAGGATTTTCGGCACTAGCTAGATAGGAGGTCGAATTCTGTCTGGAGGAGAATTCTAGCGGCCAGCTGCTATGATCGGTAGTTTTCCGTGGTTTCTCCGATCAATACCAGGCGAATGCCGGAGAAACAGGCCAGCTCGTGACAGGTCTTACATCTTTGTCATAACCTCACCTCTTTCTTAAATACACTTACGTGCGCGGCACTACCAGCTGTTGGGAGACCAGTCGGGATCTTAGAGCTTGCCGCGGCTGTGGCGACGCCCCGCTAGTGGGAGATACCTGAATGAGCAAAACCACACAAGCCGACGTGTAGGTCGGCGCCAGAGATCACCGTTTAGTGGGGGAAGATAATCGCCACTTCCTAAGGGGGAAAATGCACAACACTTATGAGATCAATGACCTTAGTCGTTGAGCACGGAAAAACGAAATAACAATCGGGACAATTCTGCAAGCGATGTTGGGATGCATTACTCCAACTCCCTAAGTTGGGATGGTTACAAAGTCGAGACTCAGAGAATCCATCGAGTTTATATGCTGCATTACACCACTTTTGATAGTTTTTTTATTGTTTCATTTTTGTCACTATTAAATAGCTTTTCGGTAATTTGATCGAGGGTATATGAGCTACTCACTTTATAATGAACTTGCATAGCATAAATTTTGTCTTAAGATATTAAAATGCATTATTTGTAATCGCCGGAAACACTACACCAAGCTAGCAATTGAGTGTTCCGGTTTATATAAGAGACTGCGATTACCCATAGAAACGAAAATTTAAAATAATTTCCCTAAATGTGCACGCATATTTGGAGCTTAATCAAATAATCTCTCTAATAAGTGCGCAATTCTATATTCCCTCGCCCTTAGGTGCTGGGTGAACCGAAAGTCAACGCGCACTGCTTTGGCGCAAGCAGGTTGTGGGAGCCACTTGGCTGGCCGAGTGCCCGAGTTGCGAGCGTTCACCGACCCCACTTTTCCCTCGTGCGGGCGGGGACGTGGGGGGGGGGGGATACGCAACACGGGTTACGTTGTGTCGGCGACCTGCAGGCGAGAAAGTCGGATGGCGCCCGGCCGGGACAACCGTGGATCTCAATGGGGGAAATTACACGTAAAGTGGAACGCCTGCCTTCAAACGCTTCTTTCTGCGGAAGCACGGCCTGTCCGGCCATTTGACGCGCTTAAGAAACCGCTGTATTTGCCACCATCCGGATGGCTCAATGTTTGATTCTGAGTGTTGACCATTTTACGATTTCGGTACATGTTTTTCGAATCGGGATTCGATTAATATTGCTCCCACTACTAGTACGTATAAACAACGAAACACACGCCTTTACATTATCTTTCTAAGTTTCTCTTCAACATGCTAGAGCACACTGAGTTTAGACGTAAAATATACTCATCGCTATTTCTCAAGATTTCACTTGTTAGAGACCATACCAATGTCTGTGCAATAATGGTGACAGTAAGCTGTTTGGAAGAAAGACGTTTTGTTTATCTGAACTCTTTGGTAGTTAAGTTTCTAAACACACATGCACTATTATCGTTTTAGAAAAAAGTAATGCTTGAAAATGAGTTAAAAACCATTTATTTAAATAAAACTAGTGGTGCTACGGAGTGGAACAAAGTTGTTCGTGCTAGTTTGTTTCCTTACATCTTTAGTATTGAATAGCTTTGTAGTTCTTTCCCACACTCACCCCAGCCGCAATCTGTTGGCACCTAAAAGACAATGTACACATATTCCCAATTGTTCTTTTGCCTAATAGTAGAATTGATGTATGACTTTTAAGTTCAAAATTAAGTCGCTCTCAAAGGCTCGCTTAGAGCTGGTTCAGATTCCGTGATGAAACCACACGCAGTGTTTAGGCGGGAGCATTGTGCCGCGCCGCGCTCTCAGCCAATCCACCTTGATTCCTACCACAGTGGCCAACCGAAATGAAAAATAAAAATAATATTAATTCCACCGTAAAGTAAATGAGATCTTTGTTTCTTGGAAGTCTCTCTGAAGGAAGGAACCACTACTACCCACCACTACTGCCCCCCCCGTACTATATTATATTGAGGAAAAGTATTGGAGTGAGGAAAGGTAGTGAGGAAAAGTATCACTTCAACACGATCTCTAATTTTCGGTCGTGATATACGTGCTTAAGGTTCTTTTGAGTTACAACGCCGTGAGGATTAATGTTCACTAGTGCTGTTCCAAAGATGGTTAAGATGGGTGCAGGTGTGAAGGAGAAACACGCAATTTTGTACCCGAAAATTGGATGTTATTATATATATGAATGGGTGGATGGTTAGATGAATGGATTGATGCATGGATAAATGGATGGATGGATGAGTGACACGATAACTCATATTAGCAGTTTTTGAGCTGAAAATTCGTAAATATTTCAGGAATAGTACTTAGTCGTGCCGTTTGGAAGATTTTTTAACGTTTAGGTGCACTTTATTTGAATCCCCTGTTTTCATACTTTTTTGAAAATTAACTGATTTTTATCTTTACATTTTACCTCGAATAGAAGAAAGAACTTTCAGCACCTATTGGTACTTTAGACCAGAATATAAATGTATATTTTTTTTCAAATTAATGTACGGTGTGGTGTACCCACTTTGACTTTTATAGATATTTATATTTATTCACTCTCTCTTCGCCTCCTTATTTATCTATACCTTTACAGACATTTTTTTATCAAACACCTTTTACTTCGTCACCCCTATGTGGTGATGAGGAGGAACAAGACGGACCAGAACGGGACACAGAAAATTTATTTAGCGGGGATCCTGTGAATCACTCACCGTATGGGAAACCTTGGAGCCTCTGAGTGATAAGACCTCTTAACTACTATGGTCTATGGATATTTTTTTTCAAAATTATTTATATAGGTTTACCTGGCCTTGATATAGCGATAATCGATCATGTTTAAAGGTTTCGTTTCTTCTGGTGACTCGATGTATCACAAGAGAATCTTACAGCTATTTACAAAACAAATGACCTTGTTCAATGAATTTTACGTTTAATGTCGTTCTTTCTCTCTCTCTCTCTCTCTCTCTCTCTCTCTCTCTCTCTCTCTCTCTCTCTCTCCCTCTCTCTCTCTCTATATATCTCTCTCTATCTCTCTCTCCCTCTCTCTCTCTCTCTCCGATGATATTGTACAATGTTTTTTTTAAAGAAAACAGACATTATAAATAGTACCCTCTCCTTCACATAAGGGCGATCTGGGATTCTCCTTAACAATCACGACGCTCATGCAGACCCTCTATTCCGTCTGCCGGCAAAAAGGCCAACGCTTTCTTGAACATATTTATCTTGTCTTTCATCAAAACAAACATGTCTGGGAAAATATGTCTACTTCCCTAAACGGAGGCTCGCCCCAAATGTTATTGAACTATATACATAGTTGTTCTATCTGACCTGCTCAGAATGGCGTTTTAGACTAATGTTACTGGTGTTAACTTGTTCAGCGAACACTCCCAGCAATAACCACAGGACGGCCGGTCGTTTATTCAGCGGCCGTGGCAGAGGAGGGGCCGGGAAGGAGGAGAAGCCGCCTTCAATAGTCCTCGGCTCGCGGCCCGGACGCGCCATCGTCACTGAATCGTCATCGTAAATTATTTACCCGTTTTACATCCCGAGTTTCAATGTAATAATTGCCATATTCCTTCTTTTATAATTTAAATTATTACATTTCTATTTCAACTTTTGAGAGCTCGTAATTATGTAATGACTTATTTTCTATTTCACATGTGACACACCAATATATTTCTATTTAATAACTTGACATTAATTCATCATGTTGGTGATGAATCCCATTATCTATTTTTTCTATGTTTTACGAGAATCTTTTGTGAATAAAATTCCCTGATATCGTTATTCATTACTAAGGTAAAATAATATAATTTTGGTGTTCAGATCAAGTTAATGACATCCATTTTATAAATACTCAGATACACGAATTTTAAATTTTATTGTGGTGGCATGTTTGTGGATTTTTTTAAATAAAGTATTTCACGTAGGAAGACGCTCGTAGATTTCCCAAACACGATGTCAAGACAATTATTCCTTTAAATGTTTAATTATTTATTTAAAATTTTGATCTGCTCCGCCGGGACCGCGATTGTTTCTGAGGGATCTGCTTGCCGTTGCTTTCAACAGCGCCCTCGCTCGCTCTACGACGGCCTTGGAATGCTAGACAAATGGTTTACGTTCTCCAGAAGAATAACAACGTTGTGTTAGTAAACATGACTCGGTCTATAGAAAAATGTGGAATCAAAATTTAATTAAATATCGCCCGACATGCGAACCGTTACACCAAAAACAAGTTTTTCATTTTTTTGGTATAATGTATTTTTTTGTTTAGTTGTAGTTGCATTATTATTGGCTGTTCAGATTTGGCGTTTCTCGTTTATATTCAGTCTCTCACGAGGTCAAATTTATTTTGACGAAACGTCAGAAGAAAGAAAATAGATAATCTTGTAGAAGCTCTGAGGCTCAGAAGGCAAAGACAAGGTTCATTTGGATTACATCTCTTGCCTAGTGAGCGTTCATTTCCCCTCGCCTTCTCTATGCGAAGTACCTTGACTCGCGATATTGTTGACATCAGTACACACGCGAGCCTCGCAAACTGAAATCGAAGACTGCAGCCAGTCTTCCCTCTAGCGTTGCAGCAATTTTATTCGGCAGCAACTCTTCCTCATTTCTAGAACTCACCCGTCTAGTGCTCTCCGCGTTTATTAAGTGCGTGGTTAGAAAGTTCTACGTTATAGTCCTCACGATAAAACGAAAAGCAAGTCAGCATGACGAATGTAATTTAAACTCCTTGCGGACTATACAGCTATGATCAACGTGGCGAAGTTCCTGTACTGCTAGAAAGGAGCAAGTAAGTGTGAGATGTTTCTTAGGGAAAACATTATCAGATCATGTTTCTTTTCAATTCCCTTTCTTTAATGTCCTGAGTTTCTCAGAGGACGCGTAAAGGAAACGCCCTCGTAGATAATACGCTAGGAAACGATGGCGGTTCTCTACCATTTATAAGAAACTATCAAACTATCAGTACAAAATCTTACTAGAGTATTATATCCGGAATAAGAAATCAGCCCCCCCCCCCAGTCCTGATTCAGAGAGATTTAAGATTAAAAATGGCAGTTCTCCGACTGTGGTACGGGGGAAGCAGGCTTAAATGTTACCAGCAACTCACGTAACGCAGCACCACATCTTGAATAACTCAGAAACTGGACTGGCAGTTCAGGAACTTGCCCATCGACATTGGTTTTCGTAATGAAGCTATTTTCAATTTTAAAACAATTTACTTTAATGAGCTGCTTTTAGATGATATGACATTAATGAGCTGAGTTTCTTGAACAGACTTTGTCGGAAGCAAAAATATCAAACTTAAATTTCATAATTCAGACTCTTTTTGGTAATTTTCGCAAAACAAACGATCAATACGGTGCAAATGAGACTAGCAACATATTTTTACGGCCTGTTAGTACGTACGTAGAGAATATTTAATAAATAAAATTGGTTGGTTTTTGAAAAAATGTCAAGCTCAAATTGAGCAAAAACTACTAAAACTCTTTTAAAACATGATATGTTTAAAGAGCTAATATTGTACGACAGACTTTGTCTGAGGTAAAAATCTCTTACCTCCATTTTTTTATGGAACTTGCGCCATTTTTTCATCTCCTTATTACACATGTGAAGAAAGTTTTAACATTTTTTTAATTGCCTATATTTCGGGTCAAATTACAAAGAAACTGCTATATTTTTTGAAAATTAAACACGATCTAATTTCACGATTTATCATTACGAAAGATTTTATTTACAAAAGAAATCTCTATTTTCAATATTGTTGGAAGAGGGCAAATTGTTTTAAAAAAATTTGTAATGTTCGAAAAAACAAGGATTTCAACGAAAATGAGACCTGCACCATTCTCTTAAACATTCTGTGCACTATCCAACAACAAAATTTAATCAAAAGCAATGGTGCAATTGTTTTGAAAATTTTGAAAATTAAAATATCGGATTCAAGTTCAAGGGGCCATCATCAGCCAGAGTTATTGGGAGATATCAATTTTAGAGAATAAGTTGATAAATCCTGTTATAATAAGCCGTAAATTATTCTCTCTAACATGTTATTAAGTCAGATTTCAGGAATTGTGGTTTCTTGATACAATTTTTTTTGTTTTTTGTTTTTTTCCAAAACGACCGACCGCCGGCTGTCGTATGTAAACAGCCCTAGCGCCCAAAAATACGTAGGATGTTTTCCAAAATGAAACACTTCTGCTGATGTGGCCTCACTCAAAGCTATGCTATTTTAAAACATTCATTAATTTCTGGAGGGACTTTACATGAACTACCTGCGACATTTTCAATTTTTTTTTTAATATCTCCAAATTTTATCTTTAAATTTATTGTAAGACTGGAGTGTAATACGCTTATAACGGTGCCATATTTATTATTTTCACTATTAGCTCTGAATTTTCAAAAATTGCAAAAGATTTAAATTTTTCGGCGACTTCCTACAACTACAAAATTGAAGATACAGATTTGTCCTTCACATGAAGTTTTTTCCATAATTAATTCTTTCATTAATTTCATGCACATTTTATTACTTTTAGCGCAATGCTTCATGAAATACATGTAATATTTAAAAAAATATAAGAAACAAATTTTCAAAAAAGCTCCAATTTTTTTTAACTTTTGGCTGGGATAGTGCTAAATATACTATCTAAGATGACATGAACACCATATTTGCTCTATTCTTTTGTTTTCTCAAAAATTACAGAAGTGTAATCTACGTACCAAGACGTAATATGTAGGATCCTTGCAACCCGAGGGCGAGTAGTGAAAGCTAAAATAGTTCTTTGGAGTATGTGCTACATTGAGGGCGAGTGCAGGCAATTGAAAGTCCCAAGTTCATCAGGACCCAAAGGTTGTGCAACACACTGTGTATCTCCTCCAGATAGAAAACAGAAAAAACTAATGAGACTATAAATGCACTAGAAACAGGAAAGAATTTAATATAAATAATTAAAAGAATAAACATTGCGGAAATGGACGGCACATCGAAACTTTGGCTCCTCTTAGTGTTATAAAATCTATAATTTGGATATTTTAATGAATATTAATTGAACATGACATTTAAAGAGCTAAACTTTAGGGATAAATATATTTGAGAAAGAAATCTTTGGTTTTAATAATAGAGGTGTGTAGAGATATTCGAAAATAAATTTGAACTTTTGCAATTTTCAAAATTTCAGAGGAGTAAATGAACATCGGAACTATAACATATTTATAAATGGTTTTTATCTATTCGAGTAAGAAATTTAAACAAAAAAAATTCAGCCTTTTACCACAAAATTTTGAAAATTTTACAAGAGCTTTACGTAAAGTCTCCCCAAAAGTTAAAATATCTCAGTGGTATTCGGAACGGCGCAACTAGATCTTATTCCTGACGTATTTAGCAAGTTTAATCTCAAAATATTATAATCTGACAGTTATGCGTGACACATCCATCCGTAAAGACAAACAACTCGATTTTCGGATACAAATTTGCGTATATCTTGTAGCCATCTACCCCTGTCTTAACCTCTTTAGAGCAGTACTAATAGACCTTAACCCTGGCGTGTGTACAAAGTTACAGCTCAAAAAATACTTTTCCTAAAGAAGTGAAAATTAAATTTTGTTTTTCTTTCAGTTGCGGAGGAATTGTGTGGACTGCAAGAAACCTCATCATGATGATTTCTTCTACCTTCGATGGCTGCTAGGTAAGTGAAAAGAAAGCAGTGTCACCGCGTAAACTTTTTGGCGGAACCGTCACTCTCGAAATATGAGCGACTCAATCACGTATTCCAGTAATTGCTGTTAGAGAGTGACAAAAATTAATTAATTCATGATTTACATCGTATGAAGACAAATGTAGTTGAGACATAATCTCTCTCTCAGAAATTTATCATAACTAACGAAACAAATTAAAATATGACCTTTTTTATTTGTTGTTCTTATTGACATTTAAATACCGCTAATCGTGAACCAACCGTAATTTATTGAATGATAGTTTTTTTTTTAATTTTAATCATAAGTTGAATATGACGGGATTTGGCAAATTTATCTCTACATTATCTAACAGTTCTGTAAACAATTTTTCATCTTTTATTGATTCTTTGTGTCCTTATCCCCTCCCTTATTTCCACACAATGGCCTCCACTTTTACTATTGCTTCTCGTGGATTGGTTGAGATCTCACTTGGGGTGGTAATATTGGTCACGATTAAATTTCTCGTAGAAAACATGTCTAAATGTCAATCTAATGGTTACCATTAGAACCAACATGGTTCGGTACCCTACATTGTAACTAAATGCATTCCCTGAATTACCTACCGATTTTATTGTAAAAACCTTCGTAAGTGTAATTTCATGTTTTGTAGTTTACAATTTATTACCCAGGAAAGTAATTAATATACTAGGTTCTCACTCCACATATCTGAAACAAGTGAATTGCATCATTATAAATTGAAGGTTTCTAAAATAAACGCTTTACATTTTACAGCACGAGATTTCGATGTTGAAGCAGCGGAAAAAATGTTGCGAGATGTGAGTATACAATGCATGGAAGCAAAGTCCCTAAAAAAACATTCTCTTGATAAAAACAAAATACTAAATATTTATGAATGTCAAACTTTAGAACGTGTATGAAACAGCATTAAAAATTGTTGTTGAATTCCAGTCCTTGAAGTGGCGAGAAGAATGGCAGGTTGATTCTCTCTTATCGTGGAAGGCTCCGGAATCTGTAGTCAATTACTACCCCAGTGGACTAACAGGTTATGACAAAGAAGGAGCACCAGGTACGTATAGTTCAATTTACGCGATACAAATTCTGAATGTTTTATTAATTCACAAATTATCAAAATCATAGAGTATCGAGATGTACGTTATACTTGCTTTCAAAAGTAAATACACACCGGCTCGTGCGATCAACAAGCAACGGGCGTTCCAGTAGTAGCTATGAGATTTACTAGAGTTTGTCTTGAAAGATATACAATGTAATAGGTGCTGTGGTTCAGTTCGCAATACAATTTTGCCATAAAATTTACTTTGTGAAATGAATTTTAAATAAGATAGAACTCCAAGAATTAAACATTTAATCCTAGTAGTGAAGTTCATTGTAACCTTGATAACAACTTTCTCTCCATCTCTTTTATAAGGAAAAGGGGTGCATCTCAGCTGTCTTGCCATCCCCTATCAGTGCTAATGTATCCAACATCTCACATTTGAACGTTTGCTAAACCATTCATGCTGTAGACTAAAATGAACAATAAATAAACACACGTGCTCGTTAATGTCCAAAAATCGAGGCTGTTTTTCTTTTCCAGAGTTTGGAGATTTATCAAATGGTCCCCACTAATAGTTTCGTAAGTGCAAACAATGCATCCTGAATTTCAGAAACAGCGGAGTTAAGTGTTCCTCTTTTTTTCAGTTGTCGTCATACCATTCGCTGGACTGGATATGTGGGGAATGCTGCATACAGTAAGAAGGTCGGATTTCATACGTATGACGCTACAGAAAATAGAATACTTCATGATGTTATGCGAAGAACAAACAAAAAAGCATGGACAACAAGCATCAAAAGTTAACCTAATTATCGATATGGAAAACTTCAATATTCGGCAATACACCTGGAGACCAGGTAAGGAAACGATATTTTATACAGAAAAAGTTTGGCCTTTGATATTCGTATGTTAACTCCAAAATTGTGTAATCATATCGCGCTTTTTAGTACGGTGTTTAGAAATTACTTAACTCGTAGCTACAGCGTTTGACTCTGCCTAAAACGGGAGAAAAAACTTTCCCGTCCTATTTTCCGTGAAAACTGTAACTAGTGGTGCAACAGAAGAACACAGAATTCCTCGTGTTGTAGCGCGTCTGAGGTTAAGAATGAAGTACGATCTCTTATGGCAACAATGTCTCTTATGGCAAAAGTGGCGCTTTTCTGCTATACTGCGAAAGTTACGCGCTCGATGGTCACGACGAATCCCGCAATGGGGTGGAGCGGCTCTTAAGCGCTAAAATTGTTTGTCTCGAACCTTTCCAATTTTATAAAAGCATATTTTCTTTCCTTCCCTCAAATCTAAATCTATTACTGTGAGATTCCAATACACAGAAAGCAATTCTGTTAAGCTTCTCGCGTCGTTTGCCCTTCGAAATGAAAGAAATCAGGAATAGCACATCACTATTTCAATAAAATATCCCAAATTTAAGCAACCTACAAGCAGTTGCAAAAAGGTCAAGGTTAGTGTTTTCTTTCTAACAGTAGAGAAATAAGCTTTTATTACCGATCACAGTATTTAAAACGACTTTGACGACGGAATAAGTCGGACCCACGGGAACAAACTGACCTGATTCACGGGAAACCGAGCTGCCTCGCGCCGGGAGAGGGGAGGCATCTTCCGGTAGTCATTAAGTACGAAACTCGTTCGAAAATATAATTATAGTTAAATAGTTATAAACATTAATACCCATTTTCCCCCACTGTGGATCACTTTACCACTCTTGCGCTTTACAGTTGGTAGATCATACATTCTAAATTAAGTTTGCGAGGAAAAAGATTTTTTTTAAATTGCAAATTAATACATTTTCGACATCCTAAAAATCAAAATGAAAAAAAAGTAAATGAAATTACATTTAATTTTGACGTGAATAAAACCATAAATCTCAAAAACAAAACACAACTAAACACACGCGAATAAACCTGAACGCGAACTTTCTGAGCAGATAACGGCCGATATAACCAAAGCACGTGGCACCGCAGTCGTGGGCGAAACGTTTGGCATCTCAGAGCCAATTGGACCACGGCCCATCGGCCCGGAAGACATGAACTATACCTTTCTACAAAAATTAATAAGTTCTAAAGATATTCGCCATAATTTGTGGTAAATATATAATGTATTCGAGGTATTATTTTACTAAAGTAATAGTTGTTATGAAAAATTATGTTAATGAAGATTTAAAACAGTTTTGTAATCTTAAAAACGGGGGATGTTTATTTACCGGAAAATCTCACAAGGCCGTGTACTTCATTCTTAACATCGGACGCTCTATAGTTAGTTCCCTACTTCCGTGAGTTAAAGCTAGCTTTTTGGTTGTCTCTTCCTCTTTCCAGCTGCCATCTATCAGCACCTAAAAGACTTCCGGGCGGCGTTTTCGACCGCACCTCTGGGAACATTTTGAGCGAAGAGCATTGCGAAGGCCATTTTTTATGATCTCCCTATATTTTCGAAAATTGCAAAAGAAAAAATAGCCAAATACTATATTAATGATGGAAATCTTTTACTTAATGATCATCTGTTATTTAAAATTTTCTTTTTAAATCAGGACAATACATTTTTTGAAATATGAGAAATTTCGAAAGCTGAGTAATTTTGATGCTTCATCGAGATTGCAAATTCGAATTTCCGGCGCTTCATTTGTTAGTTTTTAACGAGATCCCAAAATACGACAATGGCAACGTCGTTATGTCAGTTTGAAAATTTGAGAATTCTTTCTCATAATTGGACCATGTTTTGTACGTAACGCAGTTTTGGATTATCAAATGTGGTGATGTATTAGCTTTAAAAGAATTAGTTTTCGCACCTAACGCTCTCGTGTGTTACAAGTAACAGCCGCGACGTGTAGATTTGGATACAATATCAGTATTGTAATATTACGAAATCGTTTCTAATGCGAAAAAATACTTACTATTGTAATATCTCTACTTTTAAGAATTCACTATATTCATTTTCTTAAATTTTATTTCACTGGTTTCTCTATTTTATTTTAGAGTTATTTGCATGTAATAAATATTTTAGAATAAAACGTCAACATGGTATTTTATTTTCTTCTGACAATGCAACCTTTTTTGCGTTCCGACTTTATTCTCAGACCCTCAGGTGACGGATTAGTGAGATGTCACTATACTGACTTTTTTGTCAGAAATGCTCATATTTCATGAAAAAATATATACTTAAAATAAATAGATTGGTTATTATACATACAAAGAAGAAAGAAAAGCTTTACACAAGAACTTCCAAAGATTAAGAAAAACGTCAAAAGATTATTTTAAGCATATTTACTTTTTTAATATGTTTATTAAAAACAAAAAAACTATTTGACATACGGGGAGAAATATAGGTATAATACACTAAATTATAGAATATACAGAATATGAGTACGTTTGTAAAAAATACAAAGATTAAATTTTAATGAAAAAGCAAATGTCTAAAGAACAAGCATGTATGTGTTTTAGAGAAAATTCTTTTTAGGTATTTCTGAAAAGTTAAATCTCAAAATTCTGCGAAAACTTAAAATTTTGAAAATATTGTATGTGATATTTTTTCAAGAAAATAGTGTTAATTAATACTTTTCATTAAGAACAAAACTATAGCTTACTATACTAAAGGAGCGGGTCAAAGATAAATTGAACTTCGCAATTTTCGAAATGTTGGAGGATATATAAGCAAATCCTCTCTTTATTAATCTAGGTATCTTACCATTACCTTGTCTCTTCATAGATGAAACAGTGTTTTTTGTTAAAAATGGCTTACTTAACAGCGGGAATATATTTTCAGCAAACGCCGATATCTATAACTACTACACTCCTTAGAAATCATATCCATCAGGTGACAGTATCAATAACTCAGTACACAAATTCACACACAATACATGTACAGTATTTTACAACACCTTGTCAGATGACATTAAACGATTAAATTCGATACAAACGTTTCAGTCCCACGTAAAATCTTTTCTGTTGCACAAAAGTAATATTCCGAGCAAAAAAGTAATATTAATTTTAACAACGACGTTTAGTGTATTATTTACCATTTGAATTCTAAGAACCTGTAAAATGTATTGTTCTTCAGCTGCTGTGTAATGACCTCCATCTCGATAAGGTTTTCGTAGTTTCCCTGATCCTCGAGCAAATGCTGAGGACCCCTTCTTTTGCTTCTGGACATATATGTAACTTCAATTTAACTTCGCCCCATTGCACGTCGCACACAGGTTTTTACCTTTTTTGATGTAAATAAATATAATGAAAATTTCATCTATTACTATTGTTGGCACATAGACGGTCAGGTTAATTGAAATTTGGCGCCACGCTTGGAACTAATTCATTTTGACAATTCCTTGAGATTATGTAAGAAGAAAATAACATATATTTCAAACGTCGTGCTTTCGAGATAGTATTAATTTGTCCTCAAAACCCGCGAACATTCTCTTACAAGGAGCAAGAATCCATATGGATTGAAACAAACTTGGAACTTCTTCCAAAAGTGACCGGTAGATCTTCTTCCAAAAGTGACCACCTCCTGGCCTGCCGGCGAGTCAGTTTTGCACTTGTGGAATTTCCCGAAATCCGCTTTTTTCCACATTAGACGCGTTGTTTGAGTATCTGGAGCCGCGAGTAGTTTCGTAGCGGGCCGCCTCGCTCGTGAAAAAAGGCGATGTAACACGCATTTTTGCTGCATCAAAAATTAGATTTCAGGTTGTATTATTACGTTAAATTGGCATTACATTTCCAAAGCGTTTTACGCGCGAGCAGCGGAGCGAATCGCACTAAAATTACCAGCGGTAAGGAGAATGATTGCCGTTCACCAAAACCAGATAATACTGACAACCTCTTCAATACTTAATGATTCTTATGTCAAGGTGTTAATAGCGACGATTGCGTGTCGTCTTGTCAAAATCTCCTCGTCTGACGATAACAGAGAAAGGCGATGGGTAGGCTTTTCTTGGTGCAGTTTCTTCTAATGCTGTCCGAACCATCTAAGCAATATTTTGCAGCCTCAACAACTATATTTATGAGCACACTTTGCTCTATTCGTGCAAAATCTTTAAAGAAAAAATTGGAGATTTGTTTTAAGAAAATTCTGAAAACGGTGTTGGAGCTTCGTGGAAAGTAATCTCAAAACATTAAAGAATCCGCTTCAGATTCGCCAGGCCTTGAGTTCAGCGATTGGGAAATATCTATTTTGGGAAAATTCCTGTCTAGGGTTAGACGTAGGCAAAGAGACATTTTAAAGCGAAAATTTTTCCAGTATTGGGGAAAAAAGTATTTTACTGACAAAATCCTGACATTGATTTTGGTTGAAGTATGATAACTTTCTCATACTTCAACTAAACTAACCTATGAGAAACTAAAAGTTGTGTTTGTTTGTGTTGTGTATGTTTTTTTTTGGTTTTTTTTTATTTTATTTTTTTTTTATTTAAAGTCGCATCAACTACTATGTCATTAGCGACCACTATTGCTTGTAACGGTATAGTAACTGTGGGTTGACACGATAATGATGATGATAGGGGATGAAAGGACGAAACACAATACATCCATGCCCGAGGCGAGACTCGAACCCGCGATCCTTCGGTCCGAGTTCGCTACGGCACTACTGCCTTAGCGGTCTCGGCCACCGGATCGGCTAAAAGTATTTTTGTTTCAGCTGGCGAAATTATTGTGATGCTGGTTCAGATGTATGAAGCAAATTATCCAGAAGTCCTCAAAACGTGTTTCATTGTAAACGGTGAGTTTCTTTTATTCAATTCCATGTTTGCCAATAAGGTTTACAATATATATTTTGTATTATCTCAAATAATTTACTTTATAATCTTTTAGCACCAAAAATATTTGCATTCGCCTTTTCAATAATTAAAAAGTTTATGAAAGAATATACCCTACGGAAGATACAAATTTATAAAAATGATCCTGAGAAGTGGCAACCACTCCTGCTGAAAGTTATTGATGCTGACCAACTGCCAAAACATTATGGGGGCACAATGGTGGATCCTGATGGAAATCCGAAGTGTCCTTCAAAGGTACTGTATTTTTAATTATAAAATTAGGCGTCATCTCCTCATACACAGTGCACAAAAAGGGAAACAAAAAAGTTTATGTTTCACTTATTGTTTTAAATAAACTAAAAAATATCATATGAAATAAGAATTATTGTTACCTTGCATATTAATGTTTCTTTTCTTATTAAGTTTGCACTCCTCCTTAATTATTTAGGTGGTGTTTATGAAACTGATTAAAATCTCAACTAGAGGCTTATTTCCTGTAACTGTGTTAAAACATGTTATAATTATATGCAATAAGTTGTATATTATGAATCTCAACTTGCCCCTCTCCTCGCATTTTGTTATCCATAAGTATAACATACAATTCAATCCGAGTTTTTTCAAATAATCTGGCAACTTAGACAAAATATACAGCATTTTGATTACTTCGATCACTAAAACTGGGGATCCCATTCGGTTAGATGAAATTTTAAAGGAAGTCAGTGATTATTAAGGAATTAACTGGGGGTCAAGAGCCAAATACTAGTATGAAACAGTATCTGATCAGTAAAATCGAGATCAAGATCCCATTGCTTACAAAAAATATTAATAAGTTGATAATTAATTGTTTTCTGATATCAAGCTATCAATCATTTAACAATAAAATACAAATTTGCTTCCCTTCTTTGGTGTTCAATGTTACATTGTTTTGAAAACTTCAGCAATGATAACTATGCATTCACAACATTACTCTATAATTAAGAAACACCCACAACGTACACTGCAGAAATATAATGGCCAAATATTAAAAAAACACTCATCATAGGCTGCGTTTAGCTACAAATATTAAAAACTCTGCTATTCAGAAGGAGAAATATCTCCGATTATTGGAAATGGAGATGTTAACAAAAATATTGATTTGCGACTCTTATTTTAAAGCAGTGGCAGTTAACGTCACAACAAACTGGAGGTTGCAGCTCCATCGAATGACGGAAATGTAATTTCAAAATTCAGAACACTACGAGTAATCAAATGTAAGCAATTAATGTAAATTAATTTAAACCCAATTTAAATAAAAGTCTAAATTGAAACATTACTTACGCAATTTTATAAGTAGTGTCCGTGTCAAGTAGTTCAAATTTCATAAGTAGTGTTCGTAGGGAAAGGTCGGATCATACTGCACAGCGGCTGGCTTCGGACAAGAGTAATTTAGGGCACAGGGCATTGGTGGTAGCACGTGCGACACTGTCAGTGTGTACCTGGAAACGAATTAGCTTTGAAAACGCAATATTTGATTAATACATCAATCAGTTTGATTATTGCGACAGGTATTACATTGTTTCTTTCTTTCTTTCTTTTTTTTTTTTTGTATTGTCTAGTACACGAAGATACTTTGGAGCTTTGAAACTTCTCTTAGGACACATCTATGTGTCTAGGCGACTAGGTGTATTTGTTACGTTACAACAGTACAATGTCGTGTGTACTATTTGTGTGTTGTATTCTTGTTTAGTTCAGTCGTTCCGGTGGTGTCGGACAAAGTAGAATCAGATAGTGACGGGCGGTTACTTCGTCTTCTCTTCACTTTCCCGTATTTCTTGTGTATATGTTGTTAGGGGGTAATATTGAAATACTAACGTGGATTTTGTCCGTGTTTCAAGAAACTATGGGTAAAATATGCAGAAAATGGGAGGAAATAATATGAATATAGCCATTGTGAATGTTATTTCAAAACAAAAAACGATAGTTGTAAAACTATAAACTGAACATAAAAGTTCAATATTTCTCACGAGACTCTGCAATGTTTGTTTTAGTTTTTTTTAATTAAAGAAGTGTACTTTTCCCATGCAACCAAATACTATTTTTCTTTATATTATGCAATGTAATATTTGTCACAATAGGGGTCATATCTTTGGTGAATATCTGTGATAAAAATTCCATTAAAATTTGTTTACCATTATTTCTTTAGTTGCCCGATACCACCTTCTACTTTTCAGACGTAAATTGATAACGATTTTTACTATCCCCGAATAAACATATTGTTTTTCTTTGAAACCAAACTGCTTTGATAGAGTGGTTTAGAAAGAGATTGAAGTTTCATATTCTGTATTTCACGAATAATTTTAACTAACCTTAATTAACAAATCATAGTTTTTAATTAACCGACCTTCCCTACTTCGAAAGAACAATAATCGCACTTCAGCACTTTGCAACAATCACTATTGTTTGAACACGTTTTACACAATAAAATTATTTTATTTCGAAAATTTCACTACTTTGGAATATATTATTATAATGAAAGATACTTACACACCCACACTTGTATTCACACCAGCGCTCTCATACTGTAACTACTGTCAGAAACTCAACTCTCAACTCCCGTGAGAGACAAAGGAACTTTCTTTCTTAACAACCAACTTTACACGGAGAAGTCAAGTGTACGAATCAACAAACCTAATATCAAATGAAAACAAATTCTCCAAACATCATTAATGCATTCAATTCCGTGAACTGACTTGTGTAGTTTCTATAACACGCGAAATTCATAAAATTAAGTTACAGCTGAATCAAACAAAGACAGAAAATTGGTATTCCCCCTCCCATGCCGCGCAGCGCTCGGCGACTAGACCCCAGCCACTGGTTGTGCAACCGAAGGCCCTTTGGAGACCTGTGTTGAAAGCATATAGTCTGAGTAAATGCAGTAAGGGCCAAGAGCGTGGCGGTACAAGGTCTGAGAGAGCACCAGATGCCGGAGAGAGCGCTCATTGGGCGCTCTTTCTGGTTTAAAATAATTTCGGGGACATCGTTATTGCTGAAATATCTTGAATATTGAATGTCATTAAAACGAAAATGTATATTCCTAACATAAGTAAGAAGTTGTACAACCATGGAACCTAACCACTAGCCGCAACAGTTTTGCCCGTTGTTATGCAAATATTACTGTACTTGTGGAAAAAAAATTGAGTCGTATTGAAAATTGCATACTAAAAAATAAATACATTGAGTATCTAAAATTAACTTACACATTATTTGTTCACGTACACTGTAAATTTTACTGAGTCCATTTTTGTCAACAGGTCAATCCAGGAGGAACCATTCCTAAATCACTGTACTATAAGAAACCAGATAAATCTGCAACCCAAGAAAAATTTACAAAAGTAGTTGTTAAAAAAGGTGACAAGATACAAATTCCTTTCATAGCAACAGATGAAGGATCATTTCTCAAGTATGTATTTTGATAGCACGCTCCAGTATCTGGAGAACTGTAATAAAACATTAACTATATTTACTTAATGCCCATTTAACATTTAAAATCAAAATGTATCTTATTGTGCAGGTGGGAATTTAGAACAGAAGGTCATGACATACGGTTTGGAATAACTTATGCTGATGTAGATGGAAATGAATCGGTGGCAGTTCCTTTGCAACGAATCACTTGCTTCCCTGCTTCAGAAACTGGAGAAATAGCGTGTCAGTCTCCAGCAACATGTAAGTTCTACATCACCATTTCCCCTTCCTTCTTGTCCACTAGATAATAATTATTTTATATTTCTCAAGGATCTCACTCATGTATTGTGAATGATAAATATTTTGCAAATTAAACCTCTATATTTTATCTATATAAAACTTCAGTCGTATGAGGATAGTCAATAAATTTCTCACAGCATCCTTGAAACTTCACATTGATGTGATTAAATAATAGGTTTGTATTTATTTTTTTTCAGATACTGTAACGTTTGACAACTCCTATAGTTTCCTGCGCAATAAGACGCTCCACTACTCAGTATTTATGAAAAGTCCAGAAAATAATGTAGAAGTTAATGGACCTCAAGATATTTCAGGAAATATAAAATCCATTTCACTCTCTGAAACATAACTTCATCCATTAACGACTCACAAAATATATGTTCCACATTGTTACATTTGATAGAAAGATGTACTAAATTGTCTGACACAATGGTAAGGTGACACATAATATCAACATACCAAATGCTTATGACAAAAGAAGTTTGTGTGTCATACCACAACCAATTTCTGAATGTCCTCCATTGAAAGAGAACAAACTTCCTAGAAAAGAGTACCAAGATAAATATGTAAAATTCAAAGAAAAAACATTACCAAAGATCAACTTTTGAATTCTGAATGTCATTATCAATATGGTCTCACTCGTAATCAACATATTATGTCCATAGATGTACAAAACATGATTGTACATGTTTGTAATGTTATTATCGACTTCATATATTATTTGCAGGTTTTTTTACAGATATTCATTATTATTATTATAATAAACTTATTGTAAGATCAAGCTTTTTATCCTCCAATTTTCCTCTTATCATTTGCTCTCTTCTCTTATTCATCCTATAATGTTTAAGGAGTATTCCTGAACAATAAATCTAAAATAGTTTTATAACTAAAATAAAATTTCTGAAGGCTGATTTTCAATACTTTTGTGTGTGGGTGGGGAGTATCTTTTCCCATCAACTATTACCAAATCAAAGGAATAAAATGTAAATAAATAAAAAAACAAATATTTGAAAGAAAATTGACATAAAAATGGAATAGATCATTTTTCATTCATTTTTTTTATTCATTAATGTTTTTATGCATGTTCGTTATAGTGGTTTGAATGAAATATTAAGACAAAATACCTTCAAAAGTGCTAAAAAACTCAGATATTATCAACCAGATGAGTAATTTAACATCCAAATACCTTATATAGTATGTGGATAAAAATCTGATAAACAAACAGTATTTAATGATACCTATTCAACCATCCTTCTAAGAAGGAATAGACATTCTCTGTGAAGAAAAGGTATTTTCTCTAAATAACAACCAATCTCTGCAAATGACAATTTTGCTTCTAACATTGGCATTTCTTTCAATTTGTTTTCTAAAATACCTTTCAAGAAGGGTAAAAAGTATTCATGAAAAATTGAATATTTCTTTTTATATCATTGCTGTACAAAGCTGTAAAATTAAAAAGAACCATTATTTTAATGTAATCTTTCTAATGCAGTTTGTTTCTATTTGTAATACCCGCTGAAATGCAGTTTATAATACTATTCGCTCACACACGAGTACACATGGAGAGAAAAACTTGAACAAACACAGAAAAAGCAAGAAAATAGAGGCTTTCCTGGAAAACGATAAGAAAAATATGCATGCCAAGTTATTTTTAAGGTGTATTCGCATGTAACTTGTTGATAATCATGCGTTGGACAGACCCAAGGATGTTTTATGGTCCAGTTAGGACAGAAGACCCGAGGCTCGAACTGACCTTAGAACTGCATAGCGAAGCATCACTTTCCGCGAGAAAGTGCGACAGCAGCGCACGCTTTGGCTCGCATAAAATGCGTTAGACAGATTCAATGATGTTTATGTTAACACGAGGGCCATTGGTTCAAGCCTCGTCCTCAATTTGGACAGGGGGGATTGAGACGAATTTGGGTGGGGGGAGATGTGTGTGTGTATATATATATATATAT